TATATATGAGTATATGTGAAAAACCAGGGGTACATGCTTATTGTTTTGAATATAGAGGATTGTAGATTTCTTATCCCAAATGACCGCGAATTAAATGCAAGATTTTACCACTCCCACTTGAATTGTCATTATACACGTGCTTTTCCGAAGATAAATACAGTACCTTTACAGCTTAAGTGTTGCCTTAAGTGTTGGTGCAGAAAGCTCTAGCGTAACACCAATGTACGAAAGATTGAAATTAAACCGTACGAACTGGTTGTTATGAAAACCTAGATTGTTGTATACGTTAATCCATTATATATTTATTATGAAGCAAATATTCTAAGACTAATCAGAGTGTAAATAATATAGCAAAACTGGACCAAATTTAGAAATTGCCACTTTGCTCAACTATGGCTTAATATACGAAACGCTGAATGAATACTAACCGAGCTCCTGTTCTGCTTTGGCAAGGAAGATCCACAATTTACGCCACGTTGAGAATTTCTTTTCATCGCTAAAGTTGTACGCCATCTCCGGTGAGGCATAGCGGGACGTTAGTGGAGACTGGTATTTCGTGTTTGGGTCACACGCCATCCTGAAGCTGAGAGACCACCTATTAGCGGCCAAGTTCGTCAATAAGTAACCATGAAATTTCGCCGCCGTAAAATGCTCGCCATTAAAAACAAACCCGATTTTTTTTATAAGTTGCAAATTTTCAATATTACGCTAACACAATCACACAGCTGTTAACGTAGCCAATAGGATCAGTATCGAATGCTGCGATGCATGCAGCGAACGAAATCCATAACGCATCCTTTTACATAGGTAGAAAATGCGCATAATTCATCTCATACATGAAACGCTATACGGTGATTTTCAAGCAAGAATTGCGTTGCATTGACGCAATGCTGTTAATATTGCATTGATTGATTGAAGCAGCGCACTAAACGAGGAGAGCTTAAGACGCATCGGAATGCACAAGTCGCGCTTTCTTTTTACGAAGCGAGATGTCTGGCTTTATTAAATGTTTACAATACCAGTACATTTCTGTTATTGCAATGTCGGGAACGAACTAAGCTGTCCGGTTCTAGGTGACACATTTTCTATTCGCCACTTCGTTAATTGCCCAATCCGAAGTATACAAAACCGTTATCATTTTATATATTGGAGTCTAAATGTTTCCATGTAAATTAGATAAATATTCTTGTGCTTTTAAAAGATCTATTAAAATGTCTATTATATATTCAAATATGTCCTATAATTATTTCGATTTAAGGACGATTTTCACACGATTTCATTTCAAAGCGGTAACCATGCATCATCATCATCATCATTAAAAACTTTCAGGATCTTTGATAAATGCTTGTTTAGAAAACCTGCAAGATCTGTCCATGGTGTCCGTTCCTTAAGACAAATTTTATATTTCGCTTATCTACAATATAAATAGTCACATTAATTTGTGCATGAAGAATACCCACTTTTCAAATCCACTAATAAACTACCTGATATGGCGAAGTTTTAAGCTCTCATCCTAATCTCGACAGAGTCAGGCTGTGACGCAATATACATGCTAGTAACTAATCCCTGATTTTTACCGTACAATCCACCGCAAACAAAATCGGTTGTAAGCAGGAATTAAGCACGTACGACACCTGAACTGAACTCAACATCCACTTAGAATCAAACACCAGCAAAAAGGCGCCTTTTGCGTTGCTATGCACACACAAACGAACTGACGCGTATACTAGTCGTTAGCCGAAAACCGTTGGCACTTCCTACACGATACGGATCCTCAAATGAAGAACAGCACCCTGGCTAAATCTAGACCTAGGTTAATTTGGCAGCGGTAATTTTAGCGATTCTATTCAGTATTTAGGTCAGCATACGTAAACACGTATAAACATTTAGCTGTTGATCCCTCTTGTTTCGTCCCTGCATTTTTGTGTATATCTATCTTATCAGTAATTTTTTAAACTCATGCTATCATTAGGTGCGATAAAGATTACTGAGTTGACTACGCCGGTTTTTGCTACCGGTACTGTTGGTCTAAGTAGACTTTTCTTAGAGGCCGGCAATTCGTCTGCCGTATGATTACCTCCGTTTCATAATCCAGAGAGGCGGATTGTACGGTCAAAAAACGGCCCAGCCTTTTTCTTTCCGGCAGCACGTGTACCTTGTAGTACTATCCTGTCACACATATAACATTTACATTGCCTTCACGGATGCACATAACACGGCGATACACACACACGGCCATAGATACACACACCGCCACTGCCCCTTAATCTTGCCACCCAACACCCTGTTTCTCACCCTCTTCAGTATATACCCGATTCGCTGTTCTGATAGTGCAATGACGCGTTCACAGCGTTATCTAGTTGATAACAGTTAAACACAACCTAGCGCCGTTCTATAATGACGGACGGACGGTCGGTCGCTGTTCTCAATACAATACGAGTAAACCATCTATGCTGCTATTATGCCTTCTTTTCCTACAGCTTTGTGGTTCTTTCCTCCTCTCCGACTCAATCATATTTCCTCTTTCAAGCAGTGGCAACGGGGCTGGGCACCGTTACGAAATGCAGATGCTGCTACTGGTAAACCAACATTTGCAAAGCCTAGTTAACAGAATTGGTCATAGCAGAATTGGTCAGTAGCAGCAGCAGATCTCGCACTCACATACTGACCTAGAGAGCACCAAACGTCACTGACGTATAGTCAATCTTATCTTGATACCTCCGAGGATACTATTGCTTAAAACTAAGACATTGAAAGAATGCTGCTCGTGGGATTCGCCGCCACCGTGGGACCGCGCAAAACAGGCTGGATAGGCACTGAAGACGAAAACGGAAAACCTCGTGCTCTACTGGTTTGCAGATTATTGATAGGAGAGGATGTCATTTCAAGGCAAGCTTGTTTCCTGAGCAAATATCTGTATTATTTCATATATATTTAAAGTGCATTTAGCAATTTTGGCCAATCCACAATATCCCAAGTAAGACGAATTGAGACAAAACCGTACAGATATATCTTTTTATTAACACAAGCGCCAAGGCAGCACTTTTAGAAACACGTGTTAAACCATTAATTTCTTATCTTATTTAGTAGCTGCTATGATTTTATGTATGTCAGATCCTGAAAACAATGTCTTCCTCGAATAAAGTATGTTTTTATTCAAAAGCATTAGCACAGTGACAATACGCTTTAATCAACGACCTTCGCCAGCTTTACAGACAGAAGAATTAAGTGCTTGAGTTATTGAGTCTGAGATTTTTTTTTCAAAATTTACCCTCTGATTGAAGTGACACTGTCGGCTCTGCATTTTGCTAACGTTCAAGTAGAGTTTTCCTCTGCAGCGAAGTACCTCATTTTTTACCTTAAAAATAACTCGATTCAGCTACGTACAAATGCCATAGGCACTTCATTATAACATCAACGATCTGCTTTTTATGGGGGTTTTGATAAACCAGTAAGTGTAGGGAGAATGAGTAACACTACACATGCGTGATGTTGCCTTCCTTTTCAGATTTCCGTAAAAGGTTTAATTACTTTGAGATTTGAAATTACAATGGAAAATGACAATGTATCTTGCGTCAAGCAGACAACCTAAATTATCGACGTAATGCACTGCTAAGCTTCTCTCTTCTTGAAATAGTAAGATCATTCCAATTTCAAATATTGCAAGTTGTTTTTAGCGAAAAGGGCGGAAGAGGCGTGTAAATTACAAACACGTCAACCATATGCATCTACCACCCTGCCAAGACTATCGGCTGTGACTTTCAACGGTCCGGTGATTTACTTTGCGAGCAGGACGGAGGACTTCACACGATAATTAATTACTGCCTAAAGTGAATCTCAAAGGGATCGTGGGTGAGCCTGCCCTGGCGCCGCCTGCCGCCAGAAAAGGCGGCACAATCGTAACATTGATAACGACGCTGTTGTCTATCAAAAATGCTTTGATAAGCTTGGTAAATATGACACTCGAAAATAACGTTCTAAGTTATATTCAGTAAATTTCATTAGCTATTAGCCTACTGACAACCAAACGAATGCGTCAGTATTAGAAGAAATCAGTGTAGTTTTTATATGACACAGTTTATTCTAATAACTTTCACTATAGCATTTCATGGTTAATACCTTAGAATTTAACACCACAGTAAATAAGTCATCACTCTACGCCCATCTAGTCCTACATGCAGATTTGGAACGAACTCCGACTTTAGTTGGTACTCTTACAATATTTATAGCGGTTATCAACTACCGTCATTATTTTTATATACAGGATAAAGGAGTTGATAGGCTTGCTTTCTCAACAGTCTTATGATGCCACCTTATTATCAATATGATAATCTTATATTGAGAGTCAGTGTGTTGCAGTCATCCAATCAATTGAACAAGTTATCAATGAGTTGGAGGCAGAACTAGAATTTCTATAATTCCACATCTACACCTTATTGATACACCAGCCATCTTTGTGTTTTTATCAGCTTGTATCGTATCTGATTATCGTATCTTAGTCAACGATACATTTGTTAGAACGGACGATCTATGAGAGCGGCTGTTGGGATATTTGCGATGACCGACCCAGTGGCCTGGCGCTTTTGGGCCCACTGATGGTTGTAAAATAGCAACTTGGTCGCCGTGGCATTAGTTTTTAGTCGTCATGGAAGCAGGGGACTGTTGTGCTAGGCAACTGACTGTTGCCCGTGCTACCATTTTTGTCTTCATCCTGGCAGATAACAAATAATAAAATACACGCGAATACGATTGCTCCGTTGCCGGTCGGATGATCTCGCCGCCATTTACTCCGCTGATGCTGTTGGAGGCTCAGCCGTTGAGAACCACGGCAGTCTCGATCTGCCGGCTCCCAGTGGAATGTATTGTTGTGCATAAACATTCATATCTTTCCGTATATATATATAAGATACATACTTGCGGTAAAAATTAAAGTCAAAGCGAATGCGTTATTGGGAGACAGTCGATAATAAACAAATCGACCAAATTTTTATTTAAAATGTAAAAATGCCTTAAATGCACTTTAGTGTGCTAATTTACCATGCAAAAGATGCCTTACACTAGAATGCTTGAAAGCACTAAAGGCCAATGACATCCAATAGCTCATTTCCTCACCATAATGTCTTTTGCTGAAATGTAAGCTGACTGGGTACACTGGTCCCACATATTGGGTTGATAAGAAAGAAAAGTTTCGCTTAAAGTTCATAGTGATTGCTACTACTGTAAATCTACTGAACAGCATAAAAGTAGAACATTCGAATACCAAATTATTACCAAAATTATACCAAACGGTATAAACATAAAGATAATATCTTTTCTTTCGAACGAGCAGGAAAGGGCCAAAAAATACTTTACAGGCTTCTGTACTCTTACAAGATAACCGCAGAGCATGACGACATTTTGAGATGCGAGAGAGCATACCGTTTCCGGATCTGACCAATGTATCAAGGTCAAACTCTCCTAGCAGTCAATTACCTGCACTGCCGATGAATCCTAACTTTTTTTTCTTAATTACTTTTGCTAATAAGTTTAAATTTGACAATTTTTTTCGTAAAAACTTACATCTCGTGCCATCTTTACTTCAAACCACATCTGGGCAGACGTGATAATATGTGAATGTGTAGAAGTCTTTCATTTTTTTGCATTCAACTGTCCATTAATTTAAAGCAAAAATAGGATGCTAAAAAAAGCTTTACAGGCTCTGTGGCAAAGCAACGCCTTTCCTCTCGATCTTGGCTAATTGAAGTTAGTGGTTTAAGAATCCACTCTAATTTGATAAAACTTACTTTCGTAGTTAATGTAGGTAAACGGCAAGTTTTCTGCAAATGAACAGAAGTAAATAAGAAGAAGTACTACAAAAAAAAACATCTAATAGAAGAAAATATTCGACACCACCTTGTGCGCATATGACATTACAATAATTGTAGAACAAATTTATGTAGACAAAAATGGCATGCTCGAAAAGGCTTTTTACAAAAGCAAGGTTTGCAGTCTGAGGGTTCTGTCGGTCAAAACTGAAATTGCACATATGTCATGTTACTCACGTATAAGTCAAATACTGGAACTTAACAAAGGACCTTCTAAAAAAATCGTTAGGCAAACACATTTCGCCATTGAGTTACGTAAAGAAGCTGTAAATAAACAAATTAAATATGGAAACGCTACTATTAAGCGTATAGCTGTCCCAAAGATGCCGGAGCGCTGGGCCGTGTGTGGACAAAGTAAAAGAGGGTATTTATTTCTGACACAAACTAGACATAATCATTGTAACTCAACCAGTTCAAAAGTTAATTAGCTTCAGTGTCCATCGGATTCGTTCCTAACGGCCTGATACAATAGTATAATGGCAGTTAGCTATGCTTTGTTTAAACCTAAGAGAAGAATATTTATTAATAATATATTTTTAAATAAAAAATATATTATTAACATAGATTCTTTAAACTTCGATGTAGAAATGCTAAGCATTAGTACGCGATATTAAAAAAAAAAAAACGGCTAGAAGCAACTGGGTAAAATACTTCGTCAAGTTCAAAAAAGAATTGCGTTCACATGATAGCAGCCAAACGTATCAATTAGGCGCGATATGTCATTCCAAAACCGCGATAATGCATGTCCATAATCCGCTCTCGATTTACAAAAATCTATGACGACTATAAAAGAACAATGCGGTGGCCATATATGTATATATGGCTTTAATAGTCCAGGGAAAAGGCGTATACGAAACAAATGCCAGTAAAATACAATAAGTTCCATTTGAAGTCACGGGCCGGGGTTTGTATGCGAGCACAACAGGTTTTCTTTACCGCACACTTTATTACTCATTCAAAAGTCACCGTCCACTGAAATAGCGGCATTTTCAATGGCATATTGTATGATCGTGCGACAAACTACGAATTGACAGTTAAAGCGAAATATCTTCGCTGAGCCGTACTCACCCAAAAATCTTGGTTTCCAAAATTGATTGAAACAATAGTCCGTAGATTGCTAATCACCTCACTGCACACGACGCGCCTTGAAACAAATAGATAACCTCACCAAGTGTCTCTTAATCAGTGAGCGATCTGGGAAAGTGACACGACCTTCTCGCCTCACAAGGCAAGGGCGCGAATTCTGAATATCAGTAGCCTACCCATGCTTTAGCTAAGAGTAATAAATCTAAAATCTGTCTAAAAAAATAAGCCTATAGACACCGTAGTGACTATAGATCACTTTCATCTATACTTATAATAAGCAAACATATGAGAACATCTGTTGTGAACTTGTTCTCGAATGGCAAACAACAACGACTGGAGCCGTAAGAGGGCGCTGCCAACACTTGTTGGTGTTCGAAATAAACAAAGGCATACAGAGTGATAGTGATGGTGGTTGCAGAGTATAGGTAGCGACTTCAAGCAGCGCATCGTGTTGACGACTATTATGTTTTTACTAATTTTATAAAAATGATATAGCAGCATTTGAGTATTTGTTAAAGAAGACCCATGAAAAATGTTTCAGCTCAGGACTTCCGCTAGCCAGCTAATTGGCCATGTTCGTCGATGCGGTAACCAGGGTATGACTTTGCCGGTTAGCGCGCGATCTTACTCTGTTGGCGAAGATAACCCATACTTTGCGAAGTATGCATCCAAATTAAAGAAACTAGAAGAACAAAATCCAGAGGAATTTCTCTATCGGGTAAAGGAAGCGGGACGAAAACACCGCAAGAAAATTATCGTTAACGCGGACGGAACGGTACCTGAAGATGACGGAATTCTGAATTCTGAAGGTGAATATATTTTTAATGTACAATACATATTGGACACACAATATGAAGTTTTGGTCACATCTATCCTAGTAGCAAACTACACAGTAAACCAAAAATATTATTACGGGGAGAAGGTGATATCTACACTGACCAACCGTATTTGCGTATTCAAAGCCTATGAGGAATCCAGTTAACTAAATTGACGGAGCTGTAGTCTTTATTTCTATAGGAACCAGAGGTGTGTTTTGTTATAGCCTGATACCCGAAACAGATAGTTATTAAATTTTACTCTCTAAGGAAGTCTAAGAGATAGCGGTCTTTATTGAACCTGCGAGGGATTAGTCTCTATTGCAGAGGTACTTCTTTTACTTCAGTTTTTATCTGTGCATAGCATATTTTATCCTCTGTACTTGGAAAACTACATTTCGGTTCAATGGTATAGAGAGTAAATAAATTTACGTGCGTCCTGCTTGTGTATCTGCACTTGTCATATGTTTACATAATACATCAAAGCTATCCCGCGACAAACAAGGGAGCCGCTGCATGTTGAAGAGCCTGGCGAGCTAGAAAAACTTTCATTAGCAGATTTGACGGATGTATGGAAGAGGCGACATCTCAACAAGGACGCAATCTGCGGTGTGGTACCCGTCGACATGTTCGAGACTATGGCGAAACGGGGCTTAGAGTTTCCCCTCTTCGTCTACCCCGTTCCACGCGGTGACGGGTAAGTTTATTTATCTGTATACATGTGTTAAACAGAACTTCAGGCGGCTGACCAGGCCCAACATAAAATTAAATGAGTCCACACTTGCTACTGCTGAACTGGACGTAAAACTTGAAGCATTGATCCAGGGTATTAATTTAAGGCTTTTTCGGGTATCAATTCAATTATGTCAAGTATATTTAAGTGTTTGGACATGCTTGAATTTGATACCAGACTGCATTTATTGAATACAACTATGTACAGTCATGTGTTCTATATCTGGTAGACACGCTGATATAAAAAAGGAATACTAAAATATGGGAATCAAAAATTGGTGAATGCTACGGAATTTTTATAGAGAACATAATTAAGCACCTGGTCAAGGTGTGATTAATAAAATTTTGAGGCAGAGTAAAGTAGTGAATATCGTTTATATTAAGCAAAACTATTCAATGACCAATTAGCTTTAATAGCTGTTAAGTGATTTAAACGCTTATGCTAAGATTCTAAAAGTTAATTGATCACAATTCGTAGGTAGCTAGCAATTAATCTTAACTAATCCATCTATACATGTCCGTCTGTTACAATGTTTAAATGATCCTTTGATTTGAGAAAGATTTAACGTTGCTTTTACTTGTGTTTTTTCTATTTCAGATACGAAATATATTTCGGTCAGGTTGCCAGCGGTGGATTGGAGGTTCATTTTACTCCCTTAGCGGAATATCATAGGCATCAAAGCGAAGCTCCTGCTAGTCTGAGACTGAAATTTTTTTCAGATTTCAAAAAGAAACACGGTGTGATACTTATGGCTGGAGAATATAACGGAGAGGTTAGTACACAACAAAAGTCGCTTTAGAAAGACGAGGACAATTCCTATATGAGAGAATACTGTCGCACTTGTCATTCAGCCGTCTAACAAACGGGATATTTTTACGACAACGCAAAGCATTTGTACACGCCTCTATTGAAAGCAAGTTTTTTTTTTTAAATATTGAGCTTACTTATATCTTGAAGCGATTTAGTGAATTCATCGTTTTGCCCGTACTGGATGAAACAAGCAAAAGCCGTGAAAGCAAAGGATAAACTTAACCCATGTAAGTCATTTTTACAATGATAACAGTTAACTTATTTATATTTTGTTAGAGGGAATTTCGAAGAATTTGCTGATACCATTTGACTAAGATTGTGAGTCTGAATTTTAAATTTGCCGGGTGACCCTATATCATAGTTGCTTTTATATCGTTTAGTTGATCGTCGAATCGGTTTGTGCTCAATATGAATTATCACGCTTTAGGTACTTTCAACCATAACTTAGCTTTTTGTTTAGCAAGTCTGTTCGGCTTTCTTGGAACGGGCCATAACCACAATAAGTGTGCCGCAAGACCGCAAATAAGTGTGGTAGAATGAACTGTACAGTTCAAGATCCAGCAGACAGATATTATATATAGCAGATGATCTTTTGGAAATATATACTAATCACACTTAATAACTGAGCATTAGATTTTCGTTTAGATAGATGACAATGCAAGTAAAAGCAGATGCTGTAGTTATTATCATATGATAATTTTCAATCCATCAAGCGAGATACTATAGTAAAAGTCTTATATGGAGAACTGAATGTACTTGTCTGTGCGTGCTCTCTTTAACTGTGTTGTCTGGTCCAATTTTAAGGTCAATGTAAGGCATCCTTTCTGTATGAAGCTAAATTTAGCATATGGTTCCTTTTCTTTATAAACATTTCTTTCAGCCTATCTCATGCAATGTAAGATAATGATGGCTGAAACCTTTCAGCTAAATTAGCATTTTTCGTACGTTCCGTTGACATTATTACAGAAATCATTTTTGCGAATACATTTTTATAGCGTAGTCCTTTTAACTAAAGGCCCTGCCAACAAAGCAACCGAATTTTAATAAGTGAGGTTATAGTACACATCTGTATCAAAATTGTACAGCATCTATGTAGGGGTGTGTAACGCGGTAGTTTGCTGCTATTTGTTCAATTTGTAAACTGCAACTGAAATCTAAACTAGTGAACTTAATGAAACAAGTCGTCTTTATTCAACGCATAAACCATGCAACGAGGTTATGTGGATCAATATATAGATGGTTATTGTAACAGACCGGGTTCACTTCGTGGTTGACTAATAGAAACGAGCCTTTCTAAAAGAAACTCGTCTTAAATAGCTGTGGATCAGTCTTTTCTTAAATAAATAATGTTTATACTTAATTTTTTTTCCGATCACGTCTATCAAGCGGCATGCAATTATTGAAAAAGGCTTGTAAAACAAATGCAGAAAGCCACCGCCCAGTTTGTTGCCCAACATGTCGCATTTTTTAAAGAAAATTGGTTCATTTAATATCGACATTTATTTCTAAATCTAATTTATTTATTTCGGCCAATATGGCTTCCTCGGCCATCGCTCTGTCTGGACTTGTTGGAAATGGCTCAAAGCATGTACATAAACAGTAGCGGACCATGTTACTACATTTATTTTGATAAAAAGAGTATCTTTCACAGACTGGATTACGGTATTCTACTTAAGAAACTGTGGCACTTAAGCATGTTGTAAGATCCTCAACTTTATGATGGGTTTCAATTTACCAGGTCGCAAAGTCGTTTCGTGTGATGGTAAAAATTTTCTGTATCTTTCGCCTTCCCCCCTGGTGCTTCTTGAGCAAGTAGCATTGCTTCTCCGTTATATGCAGTTTTTGTACTTTATATAAATAAATATACCTCGCATCAGATAAAGTATCCAGAATATGCAGAAAATTTGAAGATCAACCTCTCTCTGGATGTTAAGAACATATCCTTCAAAGTGCTATTGATGGTGTAGTGCATTGGTGTGCAGCTCTCTAATAAAAAACGCTAAGTATTAAAGAACCAAGCGCTTCATATCGATTATAGTCCGAAGTTATGCCTAGCGGTTTTAAATACTGGACAAACAACAGGAAATATAATTTTTATCTCAACTACAGGACTGACGATGTGTTGCGCATTAATCTAATTTATCTATTATTTGGAAATTGGTATATAAATGCTCATAACGTCGGATTTTGATCTAAGTTCAACTAACTATTCAAATCATACACGGTACTTGTAAATACAAATGTTAGATGCTTTGTAATAAAAAATAGATGTTTTTAAATTCATTTGTATAATGTCGCTGTGTCATATAAACTTCTCGTAAAATATGAGCCTATGCTTGGAGATGTACAAAAACAATTTTTCATTATAATTCTACAAGCCTTGAAATTGCAAGCAAAAGTATCTGTATATGCAAGTGATTTCATTAATGTGACATACCTACATTAATTTTTAATTCATTGTTCAGAATAAATGCAAAATAATACGTTTTTCATATACCGCACACACCTCTTTTGCGTAAATAAGTGTATTAGTCAATTCGAGTCATCTGGTGAGCAATGTCTACTAACGTCTATAATAGTTCAGTCTTGATGCCATGCTGTCTAAATCACAGAATGATATTGGATTCTGAATGATATTTTGACTCATTTCGACCGTTTGTACGCACGTCGCGATAGAACGATATTCCATTATTTTGCAAGGCGACAAATGAACAGCACAACTTCCGGCCTGCGAAAACGTCTAGGCTTATATAAAATAGTTTAGAAACCAAACGTATTGGTAACCTTGCTCATTGCAATCTCCAAATTAGGTTCTTGTATGAATTTGCACTCGGGATTCATATAATCTTTTTTCCTTGGCGGTTATTGTACTCATTGATGTATTCTGCTCTCGGATAAATGCTTACTTCCGATAGGCGAGTAGCTATCTGAGAGACTCTCATACAGTTCTGTTGACCTACTAACAACGCCAGCGTTTCAGCCGACTGTGAAGAGACCCAACAACAGGACCCCGAAAAATTTTGCCTTCGAAGGCCACAGCATTACGTTAGTTGTGCAATCTGTTCGAACTTGGGTCCATTCTATAACACAACGATTAGCTGGTACAAACGGTCATGGTTTGTAAGGTGGTGTGGGTGTTCTGACTATCACTGTAAGAGTAGCAATTATATTGTTTTTGCTACGGATGTTGCTGATTCGCCAAGGGTAGAAATTCTGTTTAGGCTTGACATAGGGAGATAGAGTTTTTTGGCGTAGTATATTTATGAACACATCTGTTGACATCGACGTACACTCCGTTCGAGGAATCTCGTATTCTTTGCAACGGAAGAAGCGTTTCCGCAAGTCGGCTCCTACTGGAAAAAAAGTTTTTTGTTGGAAAGAAGCTTTGCTTCAGAAGCCTGTATGACCTCGAAATCGTACCATGTGTAAATATTTCGACTAGGCCCACCTCGTGACTCATTTGATCATAGTTGCCTTACGGTGAGAAACATATACGGCCCTTTATCACTTATTTGGGTTCAGTGCCATTAGACACCAATTCTAACTCGGTATCAGTTCATTGAACAGATTTTATATAGTATCACCGTTGTTAGCCCATGAGTTTTGCTAGTGGGTATAGCCACTTGCCCCAAGTTTACACAGTGGAGGATAGTTTATTTTTAGACAAGGATTTGTTATGCATATTTAGTTTACATGTACATATACATATACAAGATTAGACGAAGCGTATATATATACAATTCGCTTAATCTTGATTAGGCTATACGTGTTCACCAGTGCGGATCGTAACGCCAGGGGATTAGGGGCATAAAACTGTGCCCTCCTACATTAACCTTGCATAAATGTGAAATGATAATACAACCAAAATCCTTGCGGAGAGCCTAATATTTTTAGTCCGTCTATATCAATGTGTAATTTCATTTGTTTGATGGTAGTGATGCAAACATAACCCCGAACACCCGGGAAACCGGTTCAAAGGTATTCCTTTATATGTTATACCACAATAATTATTTTTCATGTTTAACAGTTATAACTAGCAACTTTTGGCATAGCAGGTGAAACAGTTAATACCTGGAAGACAAATAATTATCAGTCGTTAACAAACCTTTCCATTTCACTCGATAAATCGTTTTGAAAAGCCTTGACTGGTGGTTCGGACGTGGTAATTTAGTTGTATTGCGTTTTTTGAGATGCTCCGGGTTCAAAACCGCGGGCAGACTCACTTCGTTTCGCGCTTAGAGCCAGCAGCCTTAAGTAATCTATCCTGAAACGTGTAGCTCCACGTCACGAAAAAGTTGAAACATTTATTTAAGTTCGCCGAGACAGACACATTTAACTATAAGCCAAAGATTTGTTAAGTGTGCAATATATTTTAGATGATTGTTCATCTATGTAACCCTGTAAATGACAATCCAGCTCGCTTTCCTATTCTTATATATTTATTTTGTGGTTGTTTTCGCAACAGGTGATTGGTCCCGAGCACGCACAGTGCCTCGCTAACCAGCATCAGATCTACTATGGCTCTTCTGAACTAAAGCGAAAACTGTTGCTTTGGAATTTCAACCGGGAACCAAAGTCGTTTAACTATGAAGTGTTAATTGATGAGTTTGACAAAACACTCGGGAAACTTCAAGAGGGTCAAATCATCAACTAATAATGTAGCCAATAACTGTTAATAAATAATCGAGCTCTAGGCGGATAGATTTTTTTATTTAGTACCATTAATTTTATGTCGTTATATGGGTAAAATAAGTCCACAAGGCGACTGTCAAAAAGGTATCAATTAATATTATATGGGCTTTCATTTTTCGAAAGGCTGCAAGAAATTAATTCATGTGTACATTGATTACATGCACTAAGTTCACGGCCCTAAGTAATGCATGTATAAACAGGGCACGTATGATCCTCGTCCGGTATGCTCGGTATAAGAATTTAGGCTATGTGCTCAAGTTCTGTTTGTAGGCTTCGTTCCGTATCTGCTTTGCTATTAAAGACTATCTGTGCAGAAGCAAAAGGCTAATTATATTTATGATAGAAATAGCGTCAAATAGCGGCCAGCTGCTCCCTAACAGCTATCAACTGTTCCACAGTATAATTTAAACATACTGTTTCATGCGACACAAGTTGCGTACACTTGTTCACGTTACACAATTTATATAGAAATACATGTTTCAACATTTGATGATACATAAGCCTGGGCGTTACGTTTTTTGCGGAAAACAAACTTTGTCCTCTACAAGCAAAGGTATTCGTTCAATTATCAACCCGTTTTTTACGCCGAAGGAGCTTCAGCGACCTATGAAAGGCGTGCTCTCTGGAAAATCGTTTGAGTCGGACTAACCCGTCGACCCAAATTTGCACTAACATAGAAGGATTTTTGACGACGGAGGCTTTTTCGGCCTCTTATGCTCGTAGGTCCAACACAATGGTTACTTTGAATTGGTGCCGTTTTTATTGAGACAAATACTTTCATTACGCAAAAATCTGAAGTGATCTAGACTTCTATACTAAGCATATACGGACTTACACCCGTTATACAATTGTGGCAATAACTTATGCTTCGTTACCATTTATTTATATTTTTCGGTGACAAATTTTTGTTCTCGTTTCACAAGCCTGTTGAACAACTGGTGACATAACGGAAGTAAACAATTACAGCGCGATATGAGATAACAGCTTGACTCAAGAGCTTCTGAAGCTTTTGAAGTTATATTGACTTATTCAAGTATAAAATTCTTTCCGTTAGACCTGTATATCAAAAACAAATGTTGATGGCTGTGTTGGTTAAACTCTTGCTTGTGTCATTGAAATACAATGTGAACTGAAATGTGTTCTGATTTTCGAGTTGGGTGTAAAAATTCGTTTGCGGTAGATTAAATCTTCATTTATAATTCGTATGTATCAGTTAGTGCCTTAGTAGACCTAGTTTGCCACGCTAAGTCCTCAGCGTTTCTCAGTTTTCCGCAACTTTAATCAGGCAGGTAATAAAACTGACCTGAATCCACATGATTGCCCCCGCAGTAATATGCAAAAACACTTCCTTCTGTTTTCTACTTCCACACACTCACAAACTCATTTGAATGTATTTAACTTGAAATTCGCTGTATTGCATTCACGCCAAAATTACATTCGCCATGGCGGATTTTGCTTGGAATTCGCTACGGCTTGGAATGTAACGTTAGACATGTACCTGCCTATTGTTCCAACTCCCGATTTAATAAAAAATCAAGCAAAAATCGTGTTCCTCGTTATAGTCTTTGATTGTCAAACCTTACGCCTGCTGTAGTATCCTTTTATAAGAACCACCATAACAGCTACACAACTATACCGCATTATTACTATCATAACTACACTTAGTAGATTACGAATAGTAGTAACCCGGAATCTAACGGGTCAAGAGGGCGCCACTAGCCCGTTAGTCATTTCTCCTTCGAAAGCATTACGTTGACTACGTTCAATTATCAACAGCAAAAGCATCCATTATTTCTGGAAGGAAAAGCTTTTCGTAGTGGCAAGTGGTCGTCGAGGGTGGCTCGTCGATTCCATTTGAGGGTGGTGAAAAGGGAATGAATGCTGCGCCATCACTTATTTATAGATACCGAGCAATAGTTTCCCAATTCGTTTCATGGAGCCGCGCACTTTTCCATAGCTTTTAAACGTGTTTTTTTTTTCAGATATTTTTGTTGCTGTTAGTGCTGATTTTCTTGTTCCTAATATTGATGCGATGAATGAAGAACGCAATACAACGAAGAAAACGATTTAAAAGGTGCATAAAAGCCTTTGCCAAACGGAGAAGCATCTGACAGAGCGCTGCTTCCTAAGATGATTGTGGCGTATACAAAGCATGTGGTGTAAGTGGATACCTTTGCAGCAAAAAGAACTAACAGATGTATCATTGCAACTACTAAATTACTGATTGATGCCTTTATTGAAGATCTCTTAATTAAAAAAAAATATTGGATGAAGTTCAGCGTATTCATAAATTAGGTATAGTACATTTTAATCACCTAATATGTAACTGTGTTTCAAAAAATCTTGTTGTGGTACATCGATACATTATCTAGATCAACCATTGCAATGTTCATTTCAACTAATTATTTACAGACAAATTGGATAAGGTCAAACGGCTTTTAATATAAAATACGTGTCTGACACGCGCTTATTCACTATTAAACAAACATAGGTAATTCAGACAAAGATTCTACAAACCTTTGCTGCAGTTAATTTCTGCGTAGAATTCAATGTTGCGGTTTGGAATTTTGCCAAAAAACATCTGTTTGATTATTGCTATAATTTTTTATTTCACATTACAGAGCGACGCCTTGTTTAAGTAACTTGAAATAGAGAATACCACCAGCGGACAATATCGTTATAGTTTTTCTATCTGAACACAATTTTTAAATAAGGCGCAAGCTCCATTATAATGAGAAAAAAATCATGGCTTGATTAATGCCGTGAAAGAGTAAGTATGAGGAATAATGTACCAGGGGGACTTGCGGTCAATGCTTTGGCCAGGCAAGACGTCAAGAAAAGAATTTGCTGGGTAGGCTTTTTAATGGAGTGTCCCTTACCATCGCGTTTTAATGGGCTTACCCCCTAAAGAAATTCTGTCCTTTATTCCACAAAGTTATTTTCAGAGTTCCCTTTTATTAAATGCATTTAGGAAATCATTGCTTTATATTTCTTAGGTCCGACCGCAATTCAGCGCTTACAGAAGGGCTGTTGAGTATATTTTATAGAATGAATATTATACTCTCGTCGCCCCATATTAGCAAGCTAGTCTTTTTTCGTTGCTTAGCTTTTTGCGTACTATTGCGGCATGACATATTCAAGTTAGTTCGACAGGGCCCGCTATTTCAAGTCGTATCAACAAAACATAAATACCACCCAATTTATGTAAATAAACGAAGTTATTTTGTTGATATTCGCAAATAGAGGGTACAACAAACTCACTCGATTTATTCCACGTTTATTCTGTGTTTATTCTTGTTTCATTTGCAGCACGACCGCTGCTTATCATCTCTGTCGTGATACACGCAGCTATTGTACAGCTTTTCTGTTTCAAAAATTCAACAACTACCCAAACCGTCAATTCACTACAGCTTGGTTCAATGCAAAATATAATCGTTAGCCCTCTGAGTTCCTCTACGTAGTCGTCGCATCAAATCTGACCGACTCGACTACGAATACGAGATCATCATTTTCTAAAAATCAACTAGCTAAGGTTAATAAATTCAAAGTACGTACAAGCAGTTTTTAGTTCAGCAGTTGTATTCAAGAACACGCATGTCTTTATGGACACTTTTAATATTACATAAATTTTAATGTGGCGCCGTTGTCGAATACGGTTGCTTAACGAATGAAGCGACTGATCAACCTTAGGCCACAGCATTTCTTAGTTAGTACTCGATCAAAAAAACTCTTGATTTAGGGAAAATTATTAATTCTTTTGAGAGTGTAACGGTCTAATTTAGGCCGCGCGAAATTCTGCTAGAACAAAATTTCCCGATGCTATGTAGAGCATTTACTAGATATATATATATATATATAGTAGACTGTATGGGACGGTTATGAGCAAAATTGCAGGTATTACGGGCCAATCATGGGTCAATAGACTGCTTTCCCATTTGTTCACTTTATCTCTGCCAAAATGATCTTTCCTTATATTCGGTCTCTTCTTTTATTACAAAGCCACTCTAGTCCGCGGTAGTTGTGGCCATCGATGGGCGTAACTGAATTTCTTGTTTCACTCCAGCGAAAAGTTTGAGCCCAGCTCCGTGAGGGCTCTCCGTTGCTGCCTCACTCCTCCGACGAGCCTAGTATATGTACTAATGAGCCAGCACTGGTAACCAAAATGGAAGAGACAACGGTTGAACCAAGGTTCCTAATTTTGACTAGAGTACATAGACCGGCTAAATTTACAAAAGCAGCGCAATGTTGATCATGCGTTAAAATCAACTGGGTAACTAGTTTCGTGAAAGTGGTTGTCTGAGCGTGCGTGTGTGACGATCAGCGTTTTTGGATTGAAGCACAACTTTTTATCGATCCAATAATTGGTGGCTCTAGCTGAGGTAAAGAAGTAGTCTAGGCGGTGAATGAACCTTTGTTACTCATAGTAACAAACCATTCGCTCAGTGTGGCTGAATTGACACGATACTACAGTTCCTAAGGTTTGGCTGCGGCCTGCTCTCTTAGTCCTAACTCATAGTCCATCCAGTGACTCATCGTTCAAGGTCTGTCATCGGTCGATACCACAACATTTGAGAGCGTCGTTCCTAAATGTCGATTTTCCGGCGTTACTTCCACTCATATAATTGCATATGAGCAAGCTGGATATAAAATACGGCGTGAACGCGAGGAATAAATAAATTTAATGGTGCTATAAAAGTGAAATACTTTTCCATAACATATTTAAATATGACTGCAACTAATCCCAGCTGTTTTTCATCCGAAAGTGACGGAAACCGAAGCTAACTTTTAAATCCGCAAGCTTCTCTAAGTAGGTATGGCACGGGTTACCTCTTATAAGCTGCAAAAGGTATAAGACACATTTAATGACACTTACTCGACTCGGTCACGATATCATCTTTATTCAAATATTTTTACTGATAGAACAAATCAGATTTAGAATACACTTTACAGACTAAATTACGAAACCCTATGAGAATAATCTCGGGTAGAGAATGACTTGTATAGATCATTTTCTGCGTATGTATGAACGAAACAAATTTAAGAAAAATGTTATAAAGAAGCCTTTTTTGCAGTCAATAGATGGAGGCAGGAACGTTCGTAAACTGTGGGCGTAGCGTCGGTGTCGCGGAAGGACAAGGTGGATGACCTCGTGGGGTCTCCGAGTTGCCCAGGCGAGCCCTTTCCCACTAAATGCTGACTCATCGGCCCTCAGTTTCGTAGTTTGCTACGAGACTCTAGCTCCCTTCGACAAGACATTCAGAAATAGTTGACGTTTTAGTCTCGGAAGTGTGTCGCATGCTTCTAGACATGCTCCTAAGTGATGGAGACATCCTCTCTGAGAAATGCGGAATCGCACAGGCTTGCATGTGCCTTAAGGCAATGATATAAATTCAAATGTGCGAAAAATATGCAAGAGGACTTTTTCACGAATTTTCAATCTCACGAATTTCACAAAATAAACTAAAATAGAAAAATCCTAGGATTAACTGCTGCATTAATTCTTATCTTAGATGTGCTTTAGCATTCTAGCGGAAAAAAAGTGGGAATTAACTAATGCAGTTGTATGCATTGAAGTTTATTATTCGCACTTAATACCTTCGAAGGTAAACAACGTCTTTGCGTAAAAACAAGCACTGACACACGCACACATCGTAACAGTTATTGGTTCGCAGATCTCACGTAAGAGGCGCCAAATTTATTATAAGTCATTGTCATTTTCAACGAAACGATCATATAGTCGATTCTGAGGAAAATTATTGATGCTAGCAAAAAGTGCATTGACATGGAAATTGCATCTTCATTGCTGTATAGAGGCTTCGTTACTTTCAGCCAAGTGCGATGCAGATAGATAATCGAAAGGGATCGCACTTTTCAGAACGAATTATACCGACATGAGGATTCGGGCAGGCCCGAGCGCGTTGACGTTACATTACGCGAATGGCAGATACTTTTTAGGATCTACACAATCAAGAAGTGATTGCTTAGTTTCAAAAATATGCGTAAACCACATCAGACAAAAACATTTGCTCAACGTCTATTTGGTGTTGGTAGGTAAAATATACTATAGTGTGAGGCATCGTTTTAAAAACGAGCTTAACTATCCGTATGGGAATAAGTAGTTTTGTGAATAATAATAGAACGTCCTTGATTCTAGAGTACGATCATATGAACCGAAGCGTTACGAAAAGGCATATTGTGCAGAGAGATCAAGTTCCAAATGTCAATTTTCACTCTGAACCTTACGCTCATAGCATTAGCAGAGTTCTGTTTGTTTTTGAAAAAATATTTGTTTCTACGAGCTCTACTGATTTTCCGTATGTGTCTGCTTAAAGAAAGTCTAAACTGCTGATAAAATCGGTGAATTCTATTCCGGTATTGATGATAAATGAATATATTCTATGCACATTGTTTAACGTGGAGTAAAAATTATATATATTTGGAATGTGCTGCTTACCCATTCTTATACTTAAGGCAACTTCCTCTAAATGTTTAAATATAAGTGTACTGATACCTAAGGAACTTCTCCATTTTGTTAGGAGATAATAGAACGCTGCGCTGAGCTCTAAAATAATCAGTATCTATTTATTTTTTGACAAGCAAAGATATACGGATAACGATCGTACTATATTTTGTTCACAAGAAGTTTTAAAAATAGACTCTAAAACTGCATAGATTATTTGCTAAGAAGTGCAGACCGATAAAGCCATAAAGACTTATTGCCTTCTGACTACCTGTTCTTTTTTCTAAATGTTTTTGACAGATTAGTCCCGCAACAAAGACACTGAAGCTTTACCCGACGCGGGGAACAGAAGCAGTGAAATTGGTTGCGCCGTTTGTATTCGGCATGAAAAATTTCGGGAAAGCTTTCATCATAGCACGAGGCATGTCTTTGTGCCGCTTCTCCTCTTCCTGTCTGATCCTGATCGTGCCGATACATAAAAAGGAATAGACTAAAAAAGGATAGATAGCATGATGTTGGGCACTCCATGCATATAATACAACGACCAAGCTCACGCAATGACCCACCCGGCCTAGACGGCGGCTCACACTGTAATCCAACCGCGGGCTGCACTGGCAAAAGTCTAGCGACTCTCTTCTGCCTCCTCGGCCAACGCCTGTGCCCCACCCAAGCAAGCATAGGTCCTCTCGCAGTTTCCACAACATAGGTCCCCGGTACGGTTTTTGCTAATGCCACTACGACTGCTGCATTTGCTAACAATACACTATGACTGCGTAATCTAACCAGTCAAAGAGTCTAAGTAAACAATAAAATCGGTGAAAAGGATTAGGTGACTGCAAGAACTCGTACGCTTACGCTAAAGCTATATTAAGGTTTTAAGCGCTGAATTCGATGTCCTGCCCGCATTCTAGAGATTAATTCGTTTATGTTCTGAATTAAGTGAGAGTTAAAAACAAACCACGACTTAAATGTATTCTCGAAAAAATATTCTAGATCCATCACGGGTGCTCTGTGTAATATCAGCAGCGGCGTCTTCCATCCATTCGATAAATAATTCTAATCGTGATCCATGACGATTCTAGATCCAGCTAATCCGTTTCAATGGCAGCGATGCACTTTATTTTTTTCAAGCACAAACGTTTGCCACAGATCTCGAAACAAGAAGTCGATTGGTAGGGAATACTTGATAGTCGAGGTAACTCAGGCCCATTTGTCTCCTGTCTGTCAAATGAACTCGGGTACCGACAAACTGATTTAGGCTCCGCCTCAGTTACCCCAGTAGCATAAACGCCATCGTTCGTCCAGTGTCTCTCGATTAACAGTGCATGTATATGTGTATGAATACCTGCTCATGGCTCAACAGTGTCAGCATAACGAATAAATAGAAGTGATTCACGAAGGCGTCACAAGGATCATATTGCATATTTATATTTATATGAGTATCTATGTTTACAAGCATATGACAGTCTCTTAGTAATAACAAATCGAGAATGCACTAATGCTGAGTGGTTGGCTAGCTCTTTTCCTTAAGGCGGGCCCCCAAAAGTGACAGTAACTAACGACAATGAGAAGGAATAGATTGAAGCATACGATCTCGCGCAATGGCAATGCGAGCAACAACGACCAGGACCCTACAATCTGTATTTCAGAATTTCTCAGTCGACACGTGCTGGTACACCCATTCACTGTCGTTATTTTATTATCGTTATTGTTACCACTAGTTCCCGGGCAAATTGGAGTGAGCTTGCGCAAATTAGTCCGCATGAGGAAACAATGGCGAAAAATCGCTCGAGGTGGAGATGCATTATTGTGCATTTTGTACTGAATGGCTAAAGGGAAATAGGAAACTTGTTTATTTTATGTATTAGACGTTATTATGGCCTATAAAAAAAAGTTGATGAAATTGTTGACTCTGTCTCTTAAATATGTATATTTTACCTTGTGTTTAACTAAATCAGAGTGAGTTTATTGATATTCAAAGAAATTCGTGTAAAACGAAACCATATAAAATCACCGAGAACACTGTCTAGTTGTCATTAATAATGAACCCTGACATACTGCTACATCAATGCACTTAATATAAATTTTAATATAATTTAGTCCTTATATAAGGAGTACCAAAGACGCTATATTAGAGAATTTCTCCTCTTATATAACTACCATATTTGCATTTACGCGAAATGTTTTACCAAGCAGCAACTGACTCATTTTACGTATGTCAGAATAGCGCTCCTTTCGCTTAATTCGTTCGGATGGAGGAATCATCAGGGCCTCTACGTACCTATGAATTAAAGATTAGGTCCGTCGCAGTTGTGGGGTGGCACCTCTCAGCACACTCCCACTAACTCCATGGCCGACTGACGCATCAGTGTGGTGACTCACGAGTCTCCGTGGTAACCACCAAACTGTCCAAACGACATTCTTCTTCCATAATAATTACGCGTCATGGTCTCTGAGTCACCGACATCTACTTGTAGAAATAAACTGGGAGCTACAAATTTTCGGCTGAACGACTGGCTCCTTTGTATTATGCTGTCTCCCGAAATGTAACAACGAACTACCATCACTTTCCAGTTATGTACTGAGTGAATCAAAGAGAATCAAAAACCGCAAAAAACAAGGTGGGAAAAAACGTATCATTTTATCATCATTACTACCTTTTACCTTCAAATAGCTTATGACCTAAAATAAATCCAGTAACATTATTTTGGCAAGAAAGTCAGTAGAGTTTAGAAAATAGATTAGCTAGTTGTAATACACCTCTTTTATAGGATTATGAAAACACACACCAATGGACTTTTCGTTTTATACTACTACCGTTTGTATTTATTTTTGTTTCCGGGCTGAGGCTTTTTCTGCTGTTTTTATGTAGACATTTTTTCTACCTTGATTTCTTTCGCTTTTTTTGTTTTTATCTTATTGAAACCATTATTTATAGCATGGCTAGTTGGCTACGTTGTGTTTCAGAAATCATGATTTCGATCCTCTTGAGTTCTGCTGCTTTTATCTCTATTTATTTTATATCAATATAGCACTGAAAACGTATATATATATATATATATATATAGCTTTTTTTTGGGTATTTCGCTTTTGGTTATTTTTTCTATTTTTACGTTCGATAATACATTGATACGCATGTAAACTGCATAAACTCGTTTTAATTTTATTGAAAAAGTAGAAATGACCATGTCACTTTCCCGATAGGACACTTGACTTTGGGCATCTTGCCTTTTTTACGCAACATTCATGAACACTCTTGTTATCTCCTGAACTTCATCATCATATGATGATTACTTATAATCTTTCTGCTAGGCGGTAGTTTTATGTAGATTAATAAATTAGTTGAAAAAGGTAGTCAGCCCTGCCTGCACACACTGTTCACGTTATTTAGCTCCACGTTATTTGAGATTGGGTGAAATTGAATACTGCTCATTCGTAGGTTTAATACATCCTTCTTGATTATATTTTACTGTTATTATTATTGTTATTATAGTCATTATGTTGTTGTTGCAATTGTTGGTGTTGAATCGGTCTGGTTGATGTAGCAGTAGCGTATTGTTGGTCATTTATTTATGCGTTCGTTGTTACGAATAATATTAAAGGTGGATCCTCTCGTGCTTCTTCAGTTCCCAGCTCACGCTTTCACTTGCGTACTCTTTCCCAATAGCTAGCCCCCGTCAAGTCACACATTTAATTGATCGTCATCTTTATCCGGTTTCTCGGCTAATGATCTTTTTCCACATTCATATGCAAGAGCTATGTCGATACTGCAGCTCGATGCGTATTGAGGTTAGTATCGATCTGGTGGTTGACAATACTTCCGCGGCATACGATGCTTCATGTTTTTAACCATTAAGCGCTCAACTTTATCCATGAAAAAGTCATCATCACAGAAGAACGGTTGATGTGTATATGTCCTGCTAGTCGTAAAATATCTTCATAATACTTTTCACACATCGTCCTGTTCTCTCTATGTATTTTGTTTTGCAAATAAAATTATATTGAAGGCCCCTTGTGACCTGCTGGCTTTCTTCTTTCTTTAACGCTACAGCTAAAGAAGCGTAGCCCTATAGAACCTGGCAGTGGCGAGACGGGGGAACTATTTGATTAGACCGACTGATATTCACTGCTGATTCTGCTGAGATTCGTGGGCACATTTTTTCATCTTTCATTTATTTCGAGCTCATTGACTTTTTCCAGCTTCTATCATCATTTTCTTTTGCGTCATGCCTCCTTCGGTCGAACGACATGTGTTTGGACCCAGACCACAAAGCACGAAAAGGAGGCTTATCTTTTCGGACTTTTTCCCTGATGGCCGTTTCCGGTTTCCTGTGGTTTTTTAGCGCCTCGATTTACTCTTCCTGAACCTCTTCCTCCTCCTCGAACTCACCGTCATCGTCAGCAGTAGCCTCCTGGTACTGCTGGTATTCGGACACAAGGTCATTCATGTTCGACTCCGCTTCGGTAAACTCCATCTCATCCATACCCTCTCCAGTGTACCTGAAATCCGGCAAAAGGCAGAGGTGTCAGCAAATACACTTGTTGTTCTCTCGCCTACTGTTCTCCAACAGCATCGACTGTTGGCTTACCTTTTTGCTTGATCATTATACCTCAGTTCTTCTTCGTACCAAGGTGTACGGTTTTACTTATCTGGTTCACTCAAGAATGATTGCGCCTACCTGTGGTAAATCCTGATCAAGTATTGTTACTATTCGTCACCATTTTTACCTCGTTTATCACACATATTCAAAAGATTCGTAAACTTTACCTTGCTTTTTTTTTATCATTTTTCGTTGTCAGATGTGTCACTGATAGATTTTTGTAGAATTATACACTATTTATTTGTTGTTTATGTTTATTTATGTCTACTTTCTTTACATACCAGTGAAGAAAAGCTTTTCTGCGAAACATTGCAGTAAATTGTTCAGAGATGCGCTTAAATAATTCTTGAATAGCGGTTGAGTTTCCGATGAACGTGGCGGCCATCTTCAATCCACGGGGCGGAATATCACAGACGGCAGTCTTGACATTATTGGGAATCCACTCGACGAAGTATGATGAGTTCTTGTTCTGCACATTAAGCATCTGCTCGTCGACTTCCTTCATGGACATGCGTCCTCGGAAAATGGCTGCAACGGTCAGGTAGCGCCCATGACGTGGGTCACACGCGGCCATCATGTTCTTGGCGTCGAACATTTGCTGAGTCAGCTCGGGTACAGTCAAGGCGCGGTACTGTTGCGAGCCGCGAGAGGTAAGAGGCGCGAATCCGGGCATGAAGAAGTGCAGACGTGGGAAAGGCACCATGTTCACCGCCAGTTTGCGAAGGTCGGCATTTAACTGTCCGGGGAAACGAAGGCAGGTAGTCACACCAGACATCGTGGCTGACACGAGATGGTTGAGGTCGCCATACGTCGGTGTGGTCAATTTGAGCGTGCGGAAGCAGATGTCATACAGAGCCTCATTATCAATACAATAGGTCTCATCTGTATTTTCAACAAGTTGGTGCACCGACAGGGTCGCATTGTAAGGTTCTACAACAGTGTCGGACACTTTCGGCGAAGGTACGACAGAGAAAGTGTTCATGATCCTGTCGGGGTATTCTTCACGGATTTTTGAAATGAGCAGGGTACCCATTCCGGAGCCGGTTCCGCCGCCCAAGGAATGGGTGAGCTGGAAGCCCTGCAAACAGTCGCATGACTCAGCTTCTTTGCGGACGACATCAAGAACCGAATCTACTAGCTCAGCACCTTCGGTGTAATGGCCCTTAGCCCAGTTGTTGCCAGCGCCGCTTTGGCCGAATACAAAGTTATCAGGGCGGAACAATTGGCCGAAGGGACCCGAGCGAACGGAGTCCATTGTTCCGGGCTCCAGATCGACAAGAATGGCACGCGGAACGTACTTTCCGCCCGTGGCCTCATTATAGTAAACGTTGATTCTCTCCAGTTGGAGGTCAGAGTCGCCATGGTACGCTCCGGTTGGATCAATGCCATGCTCATCCGAAATCACCTCCCAGAACTGCAATAGAAAAAAACGACATTTTCCTCTCGTCAATGTAATATTTATAATCAATGATGCATAATTAACTGGTTAATATTAGCAGCAACGGCTGCTGTGTCTAACCCCATCAATCATCGTGACATTTAAAATTTTGACGCCTACGGCTCAAAAGCCATTAGGAAGCATAGTAATCTGTTCTGTCGGCTATGCAGCGTCGTACTATTACCGTACCGAAAGCAAACAAGATTTTTAACGCTAAGTCGTTGTCACGGTCTTTCCCTACTACAGCCGAATGCGCACTTAGAAAACACTGCTGCTTTCCTCAATATCGGTTCACGTATCAATTGAGGCCCTTGACCGGATGAACGTCGGCTTCTCGTCGCCTTGCATCTGCGATCATTCTTCTGAACTACTATGACTTGTGCTTCCAATATGAACTTTCGGTTTTTATATGATTATGTTTTTGGGTCGGTGTGAGGTAGCCACAAGCTTTTATTTCTAGTTGATTCTAGTGTATATCTGCATATTTGTTCAGTGACCATCGAGCGTTCACCGACACAATACCTGAAAACTAGTTCGCATCGTTTCACGTTTCGAAGACATCGACCGTAACTACGTCCAAGCACTACTAGCTTTACGCAAAAGAATCGCTTTAGCGTCTAACGTTGTTTAGCTGCTTCGAATCCGTCTAGCCAACGAGACGGATACATATGAACCTATGTGTCTATCTCGGCCACCCCAAGTTGATCTGTGTGTGTGTGTGTGTTTGTGTGCGTGTGTTTGTGTGTGTGTGTGTGTTGTGTGTGTGTGTGTGTGTGTGTGTGTGTGTGTGTGTGTGTGTGTGTGTGTGTGTGTGTGTGTGTGTGTGTGTGTGTGTGTGTGTGTGTGTGTGTGTGTGTGTGTGTGTGTGTGTGTGTGTGTGTGTGTGTGTGTGTGTGTGTGTGTGTGTGTGTGTGTGTGTGTGTGTTGTGTGTGTGTGTGTGTGTGTGTGTGTGTGTGTGTGTTGTGTGTGTTGTTGTGTGTGTGTATGTGTGTGTGTGTGTGTGTGTGACAGATGCCGTCGTCGGCGACGACGTCGTTAAAAAAATCAACTCAAACTGCGTTCCTGCTTTCAAGTGAAGGTTGAGTTCCGTCGGCTCTATCGCTCTGCTCACCAACACTGTCCGGCGCGACAGAGGTTAACGGCAAATATCCGCCCCTCAGCGATGGAAAAGATGGAGCTGACTTCTCGACCGAAAAATCTCACAACTGATTATTCACCAGCCGCAACAAAAAATGACTGGCCAACTCTTGACCGTCGATAAAAGGCGACCGACAGGCCAAACCAACCAGGGAGTCGGCAGCTGTTGGCAACGAAGTCGTGACGCGCCGATGGTTTTCAATGGGTCGAGCTGACAGGGGATAAACGCAATGGCATAGTAGCGTCGAAAGCGCAGACTAATACGCACCGCTGCCACAGAAACTCTGCCAGTCGACTTTCCTATCTATCCCACGACAATGACGCCGGCAGAGTTTAAAGAGGCATGTCGTTCACGCTCACAACACTGCGTACCAGCCCGATTGCGGCGTCTGTCATGTACGAGGCCCGTCTAAATATACGATAGAAAATAAATATTACGGTATTTGCATTGTTTCCGTTCTTCTAAGAATCGGCACCTTTATGGTAGTATACATCCAATTTAGCGCGAAAAATTACGAATATAGGATACTCACATTACTTCACGAAAAACTAAATCGTTAATGAGTATCACATTTATCACACATAACATTAGTGTAAAATCTTTTATTGTTAATTCCCCGTAAGTGCTAGGATCAGTACGAGTACAGCATCAGCATTGGAAAACGCGTCTGGATTAAAATCGTGTTTGTTGTACTTATTTACTGTTTATCTCCTGTATTGTATTTTCTTGTATGAGCGCAATAATTAGAACAGAGCTCACACGTACCCAGCAATCTTCCAATGACACAATGATATACTAACTGCTACTGCTGCTGCTGCTGCTGCTGCTGCTTCCATAGATCAGACTAATTTCACCGGCCCCTTTGACGTGGCTAAAGCGACCTCGTTGCCGGCTAACTTCTACTGACCCCTTCAGTTGCATTCACTATACCGACACTCAGTATCGGACGTCATCTGACTGGCAGCACAACGTCGCTGAAAGAGCCATAACAGCCGCACTCTGCAGCAGCGACGACATCGGCCGCTATTGCCTACAGAATTTCTGTGATCCCGAACCCTGGGTACTGGCGACGATGCAAGTAACATAGCCGACGTTAGACGCTACTCTGCGAATGCGGAGAGAGAAAGTGGGCGACTGCCAAGGATATCTAACATTTGCATCGCATCAGCATCATCACCGTAATGGCAATGGCTCGAACACTATCAAAAATCCAACCAGACCGCCTTCAAAGGCATCGTCAAGCAATACAGCGCATCAACATTGTTATCCTCTCACTCGGCCAAGCAGAAGAAAGGCAACGGCAACGATGATGAAAGGATGACGGTATGGTTCAAACAGAGCAGAACCACTCAATTGTCAATCCCTTTCCTCTAACAACGTCCAAGATGTTGTACTACCTTAACGACAACTTTTGAAAAACGTTCATCCATTATCAGCTGAGCACTCGTTATAAAAAGATACTAAAAAATCCACCAAAACGACTGCTTCCTCTGACAACCGAACGAAGAGAAAGAACATCGTAAAACGTTGATACATCTTTCTATTATTCGTTGGGGGGGGGCATTAACTACTAGTCGATTGTTCTCTTAACCTAGATTTTATTATCACTGTTTTTGAGATGTTTAATAGTTTCCATACGTTACGCATACTCCGCAAATATGGTGTTAAGAGCTGCACACATTTTTAGTATCAATAATTTAAGGGCAGATATCACTCAAGAAATTACTACACGAACGCGATGCAGCCGCCATGTTTAAGCCGCCAAGTAAGCATTTGTTCAGCTGGTAGTGTCATGGCTAACGATCACTAAGTGCTGTGTGCTTAGGAAAACCATTGCAACAAGCCAGTTGACCCTTCAATGCTTAAACTACTTCCACTTTATTTCGACCTGTCTCGTTATGTCATTCTAGAAACGCTTGGCGGCTTTACACAACGGCCGTATGCTATTCTCATGAACCCCTCACAGTTCTTCTACAGGGACAGCGATCCTTACTTTCCAGTCTTTTGCTATTTATCAGTTCAAGCGTTCTCTCTACCTTCAGATTTCTTCTACTTTTGCTCACTTAGAGATCCGCACAGGAAAGCTCAGAATATGATCGAAGCGAAACCTGCGTTGGCTTTACCAAGCCACTGCTGCTTCTATCGTGATTTTGGCAAAGCCCATCTCTCTCTTATCTGCCTGCAGGAGACGTTCTACGCAAATCACACAACACTCGCTTCAGGTAGAGCTCGCCTTAGGAATCTCTTCTATCCCACGAAACCAGTGTTCCATTCTATTTTCTCTATCGTATAATGTTAGAAGCCCCCTTGCTCAGAATCCAGCCAGATCTGGTAACAAATCGACATTCTTAGTTGGTCCGAGCTTGAGTCGCACCAAGGGTTAGCTTGGTTCGCCAGATCCATCCATTTACGGGCAGACATCGTCACCAAAAAAGAATGTTACTGCTATTTATAAATGTCCTTTATCGACTCCCTTACTAAATAAGGCGTGCGCATTACCTTTTTATCCAGGTGGGTAACGCTTACGACGCGTATCTCTAATGGCTTGTTTGCCAGTCTGCCTGTCTAACTCTTAGAGCTGCCATCACCACGATACTGCCTTTTACGCCAGGTAGACGCTCGTCTTCGGCATTAAATGTTCGTTCGTCTGTTGCTAGCAGCAACCTTCCAAATGGTTACTGTGTAGCATACACTCACTACTAGCTGCCGTTTCCATTTAGGTGGCCACAGACAAACTCAATGAACTACGAACAGCACACCGAGTCCGAAAAACAATTGAATGCACCAGCGTATCTCAGCTCCAAGCAGACTAAGTGTTTTTTGTGCATTTTCGAGACTAACTATAACGAAGCAGTTAATGCAAAACAATACAGCCTTACACTAACGTGTGTTTAACGGCTGTCTGATTTTAAATAAAAAAGAAAATCCTACAATGGCAGACAATAGCGTCATACTGAATACCCCGCGTGCTCTCGCGTCCTTGAACATTAGCCAAATCATGGCGAGCTAAGAATCGTCTGAAGGATAATCAACTGAGCTAAACAAATGCTTACTACACTCTTTTGGATTGACCATTATAGATGACCGACGCGATTGGCGCAATTCTGTGTGGATAAAGTTGGAGCTATTCGTTGACTCATCACAACGACATGCTTGTGTCATAAACATATGCTATGACCTAACGCGCTTGTCTTGAAAAACCACGATGGTGGTACTGTGCCTCTCTTTGAAGATATTCGGGTATCAGCAACTCGTACCAGGGTTTACATTGGCGAATTGGTAGTTAACAACGCATAACGGCAAGAGACAGTACTCCATAGTTGCCATTTGTTGCCATATTGGCAATCGTTTTTAATGATAGGTACTCCTCCGACCATTACTTGCAATCTACAAACAGAAGACAACATTACAGACAACGAAATATAATATTTTTCTAGTCCAGTTATAAAGTTCCTGCGTCACGTGTCCAAGCTCACAATGGGCCGATAGATCACTAAAGACATTGATGTCCAATGATCGTACGCGTGAGCTCCGGGAAAATTCCTAAGGCCACTTATAAGGCAGACAAGCGAACGGACTTAGTGGCTGCCAGAGCTCGCTGCTTGGGCTTGCTTTGAGCCATGTGCGAACCGCATGTCTTCCTCAGCCTGACCAGCAATATTGTCTAGCCAAGAGACAGAGGTAGGAAACATATATCTAGTAGCAGAGGCAACATGACTCAGGCACCCCATCGAGATCATCATCAGTTTAGCTCTTGGTTCTTTCTTCTTTTCCACTTCGGTGTGTTATAAATGGCTAAAGGGCTGGCTAGTTCTACCCTCAATGGGCACTGCAGCG